CCTCCATCCCTCCATCCCTCCATCCCTCCATCCCTCCATCCCTCCATCCCTCCATCCCTCCATCCCTCCATCCCTCCATCCCTCCATCCCTCCATCCCTCCATCCCTCCATCCCTCCATCCCTCCATCCCTGCAGCCACCACTAGCAGCAGATTGTGCAGGGGCCACAACAGGCAAATAGCAACTGAGGATGGAAGTGGCAGTGGTTGCTGCTGCTGCTTTATTGGTGGCAGCAGCAGTGGTGGCAGTGGTGATGGTGGCAGTGGCAGCAGCAGTGGTGGTGGTGGCAGCATTGGCAGTGATGGCAGTGGCAGCAGCTGTGGTGACAGCAGCAGCAGTGACAGGAGCAGCGGTGGTGGTTGCAGTGGTGGCACCAGTGCCAGTGGCAGTGGGTTGGGTCGCATTCACAGTGGATGTGCCCTCTGCAGAGTCTCGTGAGAGAATGCCGTCTATGACCTTACATTCATCGCGAGCTGTCACAGAGGCCACTCCAGTTCCATTGGACCAATCTTGTACTTAGGTTTTGGAACTCTGTGGTTAAGAGGCCGGGAACGCTGTGTCACCGGGCATTTGTCGCCGACCTGGAGTTGGCACTTGGGGGCGTCTCTGAGTGTTGGGCAAGCAGGGTACTAGCCATTCTTACTAGCTTAGGAGTGGAACCCCCCACTAATACGCGCGGTAATGATCTTATAGCGTACTACACCACCCTTAAATTGCCAGTTGAGAGCATTCTTAAGGTATTTGCCAAGCGGCTTGATGCACGGTGGGAGTGCCCGAATACCTTGGGTGACCCCCGCGTCTTCCCGGGAGGCAAGGCGTGTCGCTATATAAACTGGATGGGAGCTGCCCCGCCTAGGGGTGCGCGTCTCGATTGGTTGGAGCACACTAAAGGGACCATGCCTAGGGTTGCAAAAATTATTAGAATGGCAGGCGTTCTCTACTAATTCTAATATTATTTCTAATTAGAACGTTAGAAATAATATTAGAAGACCTGGGGTAACTTCTCAGGGAGGGGGACTTTTCACTTCGGAGTTTCACCATGGTTACGGCAGATGCTAACCCAGGTGTTTTTAACGGTTTTTACGGGGCTACGACACCCGTAAGCAGGACTTCTCAGCCAAACCCCCGGTCGAAGTGACCTCTGGGTCACTAATTTCGCCTTTAAACTGTCTTAGACTGTCTTAAACTGTCTCTGTGTACGCCTTCCCAACATCTTTGGTACCTGAACCAAGAGTCCAAGAGTCCAGTCCTAATTGTCTGCAAAGCAACACCCAACACACAGTCCGGACATGCCAAACCTGTCGCCCCAAAACTTCTAGCAAAATCCTCATCAACTCATGCAAATTGCCCCAAGGCTTCCACGGCCCCTTCCTTCACTCCCCCTGCACGTCCAGCCCCTCCAGCAGCTGCATCAGCACCTCCTCATCCTTCCCACCCCGCTCCATCTGCAAGGCCTTCCGGTTCTGCCGGATGTAAATCAGCTTCTCTGCACGCTCCTTGCCCAGCCGGTTGCGGGCCTTGGTGAAGATGTTGCCCCACAGCGACCAGTTGCGCTCTGAGGCGCAGGTCGTGGCGTGCATGCCTCACTGCCCTCCTGCGCCTTGTCTGCTGCCTTGCTGTGCTTCTTAAGATGGTTGGGAGCTGTTGCAGACGGATTTTTGGCACCCAGCACCTCGCCGCAAATGGTGCACTTCAGCTTCACGACTCTTTCTGTCAAGATCACGGTGAAAAACGACCACCAGGAAGCACTGCCTCTTGCTTTTGCACTCTTCAGGGCTTCCGCGTAGGCTGGAGCGTCTAGCTCCTTGTTGCCATAAGTGTATGTTGCTTTAGGAGTCTTCGAAACTGGTGGTTTTGATGGCCCAGCATCAGCATCAGCCATTTTTCCTAGAAAAATGTGCCGTTGCAGGCTGCGGAGGCGGTCTGAATAGCCATTCTAATGGGTGTACGACATTAGAACGTTCTAATCTGTTCTCAAGGGGTCTTCTAACTTCCTCATTAGAATTCTAATTAGTTTAATTGTAATATTGTTTGTAATTTCTAATGCGCCTGCAACCCTAACCATGCCCCAGCGACTTCATCATGTGCTCATGCGTTTTCGGTTAGGCTGTTGGGAGTAAGAGGTTAATAGGCCTAATGGGCGTGAGTGCACCGCGTGTACCTGCAGGCTTTGTGACTGTGGAGCGGTTGAAGATGAGTTGCATGTTTTCGAAGAATGTCCCGCTTACAAGAGCATACGGGCTAAGTATGATGGTGACCTAGTCCTTATGGGGCGCAGCATGCGCGCCATTATGACTGAGGCACCACCCCTGGCATTGGCCAGGTGCCTCTCGGAAATCTGGGAGGCCAGGCACGTCGCGCTGAGGCGCTTCACCCTGAAGCGGACGAGGGAGAATGAAGATGACCTCCCGCGTACCCGCATCAATACCAATACAACATCCATGGCCCCCCCGGCTTTTACGGACACACCCGCACTTGTGTGCGGAACTTGTAACTTGTAACTTGTAACTTCAAAGGTGTTAATTGGCAGAATTGGGTCACACCAGCACAGGACATGAGACAGCATACAACTATGTGGCAATGTGTACGACAAATTGTGGGACAATGTTTATTGCTGGAGTGTGCTGACCACCTTCCAAGTATAAACAGGTGACATGTATGGTGCAGTGAAGATTAAGGGGGTGTTTCCACTTGGATTAAAAGTCGCGGATTAAGGTATTTTTAAGCCGCGCCAATCCACCGCTAATCCGTCGGAGTGTTTCATACGTCTGGATTAAGAAACGGATTGAAGTACGACACTTGCTCATTCCGTGCATAAAATGCAAAAACGAGTATTGCCAGACATTTAAAAGACTATCGAGTATCAACATGAAGGCCTTGTAGCACCTTTGAACGACACCCACGGTGTGGTGCATAATGCCGAACAAGAAGCACAAAGCTTCCACAAAACTAGGAACACCTACAGCCTTTATAAAGGATAACCTTCCAACCTATCACTCAGGCTTTTTATGAGGCGTCGTGAAAAGTGTTAATCCGAGATTGTCAATCTGATACCTGGTGGCCACCAGGTAGCAAATTTTTCGCACCAAGTTTGAGCTTTTAGTATAGGCAGAAAGCTCGCATTTCATAGCATATTAATCTATAATTAATCCGCGAAGCGCGTGAATACGGACGGAAATCTCTAACTAATCGCGCCAACCTTAATCCGCCTAATCCGTCCTAATCCGCGCGATGTTTCCATATGCGACGGATTAAGCCTTAATCCTCGACTTTTAATCCAAGTGGAAACACCCCCTAAGGATCTAACTGCTATAGTAGTTTTGGGCAAATATGCATATCCTCAGTGATCCACATTCATATGTGGGTTCAACTGTATATTTGTTTCACATACTTGGAAACCATACAGGAATGCTTGTTGATGGGGTGTTACACTGTGGGCGGCTCGCCTGATAAAGGACGAGCACCGGGGGCCCTGACCGGGCCGAAACACAGCGCAGGGATGGGCGCACGGCTCTACGTCCGTCTATTCCTCCGTGCGCGCCTCATTCCCTCACTCACGCCAACCGGGACGCTCTCCCAGCCCCTGGCTAGGCAACACAGCGGTGCAGAGGACTGCGAACCGAACTATGCGAGAGCCGCACGAAAGGCGCCACTCTGCCTGGCCTGCCTATTCACACGCTGTAGCAGCTGACCGCTGAAAAGGTCTCTCGTGTTGCTGGCGGTCGCGCTCTGCGCGTATTTATAGCACCGTACTGTGTACCGGCTGCTACATTCCCCCCCCTTTGAAGGGAACCGTCCCGGGCCCTTTAGAGCCTCGTATACCGCCAGCCTGTGCCTACCTTCTCCTACCCTCGGGCAGTGGGGTGACCAAGCCCACGTCACGTCATGTGCCCGCTTCACATGCGCCTAGCCTTCAGGTTTTTCAGGCACAGAGACAGTCCAGTCGGTTCAGATACTTTTATTTTATAGATTTTGTGCGATTTTCGCTCACTGAGTCGCCACACCCGAAATACCACTCGAACGTGATCGGTGGGGGTTGAACCGACGACTTGAGGATTGTGATTTTCACGAGGTCTCGATACCAAATGTAGCAGCTGACCGCTGAAAAGGTCTCTCGAGTTGCTGGCGGTCGCGCTCTGCGCGTATTTATAGCACCGTACTGTGTACCGGCTGCTACACACGCTCTCGTCCCTTTTGACCACCAAAACTAGAGCGCGCTGTTCGCGCGAGTGGGCCGTAGCTCCGTAGCATAGTGTAGCATAGTGTAGCATAGCGTAGCATAGCATAGCGTAGCATAGCGCAGCATAGCATAGCTATGATCGCATATGCTTGCATATCGCATATGCTTGCACATCGAATGCGGTATATGCTTGCAGATTGCATATGCTTGCAGATCGCATATGCTTGCAGATCGCATATGCTTGCACATCGAATGTGGCATATGCTTGCAGATCGCATCTGGCATATGATTGCAGATCGCATATGCTTGCAGATCGCATATGCTTGCAGATCGTATATGCTTGCAGATTGCGCGTTGCCCGGCGCTGTCGCAAGCGCGTACAGCATAGCACAGCGCGTACGGCATAGCGTAGCATAGCATAGCGCGTACGACATATCACAGCATAGCATAGATCGTATATGCTTGCAGATCGCATATGCTTGCACATGGAATGTGGCATATGCTTGCAGATCGCATCTGGCATATGCTTGTAGATCGCATCTGGCATATGCTTGCAGATCGCATATGCTTGCAGATCACATATGCTTGCAGATCGTATATGCTTGCAGATCACATATGCTTGCAGATCGTATATGCTTGCAGATCGTATATGCTTGCAGATCACATATGATTGCACATCGCATGTGGCATATGCTTGCATATGAAGCATTTGTGCATATGAAACACAGGTGCATATGTGCATATAAAGCACATGTGCATATGTGCATATGTGCATATGTGCATATGTGCATATGTGCATATGTGCATATGTGCATATGTGCATATGTGCATATGTGCATATGTGCATATGTGCATATGTGCATATGTGCATCTGAAGCATATTTGCATATGTGCATATGAAGCATATGAAGCATATGAAGCTGCACATCGCATGTGGCATATGCTTGCATATGAAGCATTTGTGCATATGAAACACATGTGCGCATGTGCATATGAAGCATATGTGCATATGTGCATATGTGCATATGAAGCATATGTGCATATGTGCATATGTGCATATGTGCATATGAAGCGTGTGTTAAGCGTGTACGGCATTACTGTTATGTAACAGAAGACTGCATCTGCTTGCAGATTGCATATGCTTGCAGATCGCATAGGCTTGCATATCGCATATGCTTGCACATCGAATGTGGCATATGCTTGCAGATTGCATATGCTTGCAGATCGCATATGCTTGCAGATCGCATATGCTTGCACATCGAATGTGGCATATGCTTGCAGATCGCATCTGGCATATGCTTGCAGATCGCATATGCTTGCATATCAATGGGGCATATGCTTGCAGATCGCATATGCTTGCAGATCGCATATGCTTGCAGATCACATATGATTGCACATCGCATGTGGCATATGCTTGCATATGAAGCATTTGTGCATATGAAACACATGTGCATATGTGCATATGAAGCATACGTGCAAATGTGCATATGTGCATATGTGCATCTGAAGCATATGTGCATATGTGCATATGAAGCATATGAAGCATATGAAGCATATGAAGCTGCACATCGTATGTGGCATATGCTTGCATATGAAGCATTTGTGCATATGAAACACATGTGCGCATGTGCATATGAAGCATAGGTGCATATGTGCATATGTGCATATGAAGCGTGTATTAAGCGTGTACGGCATTACTGTTATGTAACAGAAGACTGCATCTGCTTGCAGATTGCATATGCTTGCAGATCGCATAGGCTTGCATATCGCATATGCTTGCACATCGAATGTGGCATATGCTTGCAGATTGCATATGCTTGCAGATCGCATATGCTTGCAGATCGCATATGCTTGCACATCGAATGTGGCATATGCTTGCAGATCGCATCTGGCATATGCTTGCAGATCGCATATGCTTGCACATCGAATGTGGCATATGTGCATATGTGCATATGAAGCATATGTGCATATGTGCAGATGTGCCATATGTGCATATGTGCATATGTGCATATGTGCATCTGAAGGATATGTGCATATGTGCATATGAAGCATATGAAGCATATGAAGCATATGAAGCATACTAGAGCGCGCTGTTCGCGCGAGTGGGCCGTAGCTCCGTAGCGGCGCTGACGCTGAATTGCACGCTAAATTGCGCGTTGCACGGCGCTGTCGCAAGCGCGTACGGCATAGCATAGTGCGTACGGCATAGCGAAGCATAGCATAGCGCGTACGACATATCACAGCATAGCATAGATCGTATATGCTTGCAGATCGCATATGCTTGCACATGGAATGTGGCATATGCTTGCAGATCGCATCTGGCATATGATTGCAGATCGCATATGCTTGCAGATCGCATATGCTTGCAGATCGTATATGCTTACAGATTGCGCGTTGCACGGCGCTGTCGCAAGCGCGTACGGCATAGCATAGCGCGTACGGCATAGCGTAGCATAGCATAGCGCGTACGGCATATCACAGCATAGCATAGATCGTATATGCTTGCAGATCGCATATGCTTGCACATCGAATGTGGCATATGCTTGCAGATCGCATCTGGCATATGATTGCAGATCGCATATGCTTGCAGATCGCATATGCTTGCAGATCGTATATGCTTGCAGATTGCGCGTTGCCCGGCGCTGTCGCAAGCGCGTACAGCATAGCACAGCGCGTACGGCATAGCGTAGCATAGCATAGCGCGTACGACATATCACAGCATAGCATAGATCGTATATGCTTGCAGATCGCATATGCTTGCACATGGAATGTGGCATATGCTTGCAGATCGCATCTGGCATATGCTTGTAGATCGCATCTGGCATATGCTTGCAGATCGCATATGCTTGCAGATCACATATGCTTGCAGATCGTATATGCTTGCAGATCACATATGCTTGCAGATCGTATATGCTTGCAGATCGTATATGCTTGCAGATCACATATGATTGCACATCGCATGTGGCATATGCTTGCATATGAAGCATTTGTGCATATGAAACACAGGTGCATATGTGCATATAAAGCACATGTGCATATGTGCATATGTGCATATGTGCATATGTGCATATGTGCATATGTGCATATGTGCATATGTGCATATGTGCATATGTGCATATGTGCATATGTGCATATGTGCATATGTGCATCTGAAGCATATTTGCATATGTGCATATGAAGCATATGAAGCATATGAAGCTGCACATCGCATGTGGCATATGCTTGCATATGAAGCATTTGTGCATATGAAACACATGTGCGCATGTGCATATGAAGCATATGTGCATATGTGCATATGTGCATATGAAGCATATGTGCATATGTGCATATGTGCATATGTGCATATGAAGCGTGTGTTAAGCGTGTACGGCATTACTGTTATGTAACAGAAGACTGCATCTGCTTGCAGATTGCATATGCTTGCAGATCGCATAGGCTTGCATATCGCATATGCTGCACATCGAATGTG